ATTACTATTTATTTTCCAGTTAAACCTATACTGATGTTGGAAGAATCTCATTATTACTCTCTTAATCAGGAAGCTAAAATACTTTGTGATATAGTGGCATTTCCACTACCTAATATTTCATGGAGTTTCACGAGGTGCCCTGAGTATCCTACGTGTGAAGATAAAAGCACAATCTTAACGGTAGGTACATTAAATATTTCTTAATTGAATATCGATTTGAGAAAAAAAAATTATATGCAGGATACCAAGGAAACATTAACAGATACGAGATTTTACTCGAAAGTAAAAATGATTTTTGAAATGACTGGTCAATTGAAATGCACCGCGTGTAATATTCTTGGATGTGAATCTAGTATTCAAAATGCCTTAGTCTCTGGTAAGGACATAAACATCAGTAGCCTAGTTATGAGATTTTTAAAAATTTTTTATGATTTTTAAATATGTTAACAGATGGAAGAGGTGGCTTCGGTATAATCGAGCCAAAAGAATTAGTGACCGTAGGTGACGATCTAGAACTAATCTGTGCTGCCTCGGTTTATAATTACTCAGATAATTTTGATTGGAGATACGGCAATGATACACGTATCGTAGAAAATAGTAAGTATTCTCTATACTCGATATCTTTTATGAAACGCATATTTCATTAATCTAATAATTTTTCAATTAGACAGATTATCGATTATTCATAGCAGGACTCAATTCACTCATCGTTCGATATTAAAAATAAAGAATGTTAATAAGGGAGATTCAACGAATTATTCGTGTATCAATAAAGAAGAGATAAGTTATTTCCTACAGGTTCATGGTGAGAAATGTTATTTAACCCTTGAACAGCGGACAAAATTGAATTAAAATTAAATTAGATTAAAATCCGAGGGTAAAGAACTTCACTATCAAAATGGATTTGTTAATTCTTTCTTCCTTTTTAGATGCACGAGCACCTACTTTTAAGGAAACTAACATGAACAAGAACGAGCTTACTGTAGATTTAAATACGGACGCACATAAAACAGTGATTCTGAAATGTTTTGCGGATGGAATGCCTAGACCAAATATCACTTGGTACAAGGTAAATAATTAACAGCTTGTTCATTATTAATATCCTTATCCGAAAATATCAAATATGAAACTGTTTCATTACATTTAATAGGACGACACATTAATAAAAAATAATGACCAATACATGCTCCTCTACCATCACCAAGAGCTTCATATTAAATATCTGCTAGGTTCTGACAGTGGAAAGTACTCGTGCCTAGTAGAGAATCGTATTGGAAAAATTGAAGCCTCTCAATTAATAACGATAAAAGGTAACTCATTGTTTCACAGAATAAGAATTACACATCCTGTAATATACATATTGATAATTAAATAAATTTGATTCCAGGAAAAGTGATTCCTAAGGAACTAATCATATTGATCGGTGTCTTAGCGATCACTGTCGTGATTTTGATTGTCTACTTCACGATCAAGATTCGACGTGAAAAGGTAATTAATAAGAAGGTAACACGTTTCTAAGGATAATTACAGAAACTGACTGAATCTTTCAGATAATGAGGAAAGAATTAATGGAAGCTGGACTGATGCACTTTGAAGAGGGAGCAATAGAATGTTTGAATCCGGACATGACTGTGGACGATCAAGCCGAGTTGCTTCCTTATGACAAAAAATGGGAATTTCCTAGAGAAAGATTGAAATTAGGTAAATTCTGAATCTTTCACTTAAAAATTGTTTAATTTTTAATTTTGATATATTTAATAGGAAAGAAACTGGGAAGTGGAGCCTTTGGTGTTGTCATGAAAGCAGAAGCACAAGGAATTTGCGAACATGAAACAATTACCACGGTAGCTGTGAAAATGGTTCGTCGTACAACCGATCCTACCTATGTTAGAGCACTTGCCAGTGAATTGAAAATTATGGTTCATCTTGGAAAACATTTGAACGTTGTTAATCTCCTCGGAGCGTGTACAAAGAATATCTCGAAACGTACGTATTCCACAAAAAGTTCCTCCACAAAAATCTAATCTTTATCTAATATACAATAGGTGAATTGTTGGTGATCGTTGAATACTGTCGATTTGGAAATTTGCATAATTATTTGTTACGTCATAGAGCTGATTTCATTAACCAAATTGACCCAGCAACCGAAAAAATTGATCCCAACATCGGTATAGATATTCTAACGAGATCTGCCAGCATTGAAAGTAACTACAGGTTTGTTATAATTTTTTATCTATTGACTGAAGTTAATAGTGCCTCATGGAAGGGGCTTTTCCTAAAAATTTTTAACCATCAGAGAATCTATTCGTATTCCTATATCAAAGGCTTCATTTATTTGTGATTAACCCTATTATTGCAATCGCTTTCGACTTAAATAAATGCCTGTCACAGACACCTAAGTGTCTGGTCCATCAGATTGCACTCGTATTTAAGAACTGAATCTCTAATAATAATGATCAATATATAGAAAAATTGTTTGAATGAAACACTGCATTTTCACAGATCTATTTCTTAACTGTTACTTTGGTCAATAACACAATAGGATGTACTCACACTGCTGTGCATGGGGGTTGCGGTGTTAACGATATCTGTGTTTCTTCTGTCCTCACGACAGGATAAAATACGCGGCATTGTCATTTTCCCGCAGTCTTAGCGCGAATTCTGGCACCGATTCGGTGCACTATCAAGCCACCGCACCTATGGATTCTCAAGGTGTTAGCATGTCCCCGGACGGTTGCATCGTCAGCAACGAATCGTCTCAGCCAGGATGGAGATCCAACTATCGCGGTGATTACAAGGATCACAATTTGAAACCGATCTGCACGCAGGATCTATTGTCCTGGGCATTTCAGGTGGCGCGAGGGATGGAATATCTTAGTCAGAGAAAAGTACGTGGATCTATTATTATTAATTAGATTCCTGCAGATAACTCGAGGAATTTTTCTGTAGGTATTACACGGCGATTTAGCCGCGAGAAATATTTTACTGGCCGAGAATAATGTGGTAAAGATATGCGATTTCGGGCTGGCTAAAACTATGTACAAGGATAATAATTACAAGAAGAAAGGGGATGGCCCGTTGCCCATTAAATGGATGGCTATCGAATCGATCAGAGATCGAATTTTCTCTACACAGTCGGATATTTGGTCGTTTGGTATTGTTCTATGGGAATTCTTCACGTTAGCTGAGACACCCTATCCTGGAATGGAAGCTGAGAAACTGTATCAGAAACTGATCGAAGGATACAGGATGGAGCAGCCGGAATATGCTACTCCTGACATGTAAGTTAATGTCTTCTTTGGCTAAAAATGACATATATTCAATATTGAGAGAACCCAGAGAAAATCTAAGAAAAGCGGGATCTGAGTTTAAAATTAAATTAAAAATTGGGGCTCTCTCCATGGTCCGCCGTCCAAGGATTAACAATAATTCCTGTTGATTTCTGATATGATCACCAATTACCAGCCTATATTACTACTAATTATTTTATTTTATATTTGTCGTAGCTACAACATAATGCTCCAGTGTTGGAAGGCTAAACCTACTTTGCGACCAAGTTTCACAGAACTAGTGCATAGCATAGGTGAACTCTTAGAAGAGAGTATAAAAGCGGTGAGTTTGCATCTATTCACCTACATTTAAAAAAATAATAAATACACTAGAAAAAATATATAAAAACACAAATGCTCATTAAATTTACAGCACTACATCAGTCTAAACGCCCCTTACTTGGACATGAACACAATGATGCTGGAAGCTGGTAAAAATGACTATTTGACGATGCTGTCTGCTCCTGATCACGAGACCTTCTCTTCGCCCTCCCACGAGTACGCAAACTCACCCTTGAATTCACCAGCTTCCACGTACCTGTGCATGAGTCCAGCGATTCGGAAGGACGAATCAGGGATATTCAGTCCTAGACCGCATGAAGAACGAACTCATTTCGAATTTCCATCCCCTACGTCCGACTCCGAGGACGCGGTGGAATTATCACCGATGTTGAAGAAGCAAGAGGAGGACGACGACCCTTACCTAAAGCCCATCAACGTGCACGAACGAAGGGCTGAGTTCGCCCGACAGAGGCAAGCAATGAAGAATCAAAGTAACGATCGACCGATCGATAGGGATTCAGGATACTGTAACACACCTAGAAATGTTCATCTGATAGATCTGAACGAGAAGAACCAGAAACATTCGGAGGTGGTTGACAACGATGAGAGAACGGACGCGAATTCGAAGAAGGATTTCGTGCCAGCAATCATCAGAACGCAGGATAATTATGTGAATATGCCTAAACAGAAGATCGACTTGAGAAAAGACGTACCTGATGGATTCAGCAATCCCAGTTATGTAATGATCGACACTCGAGAGACGAATTTAGAGGAACGGTGCTGAAACTTCTTCTGTATGTAAGCATCATTTGTGTAATTATAAGAAAATTCATGAATTGAGACACTTTTTTACGTTTACTAGTATCACGTGTTTCCTTTTGTGCATATTGCTTCATTTTCAATGTGCCATGACAAAACGTTGCGCTTAAATAACACGGACAACAGTTTTGTTCGTTTATTAATCTTTGATCGAGGTTGAAGGTTTAATACTGATTTTACAAAATTAAGAATATCCTTAGATTTAGTATAAGGATAGAAGAAGATACTAAAGTAATTGCTATTTTTTGTAATTCGTTGATTAAATGCTCGAATATAATTTTTTTAAATATTCCTTGTAAGATATCAACGATTGTATGTTATAAGGAAAGTTACCGCTAAATTTCCTAAATAAAGCAATATTTTTATATTTTTTAATACTTTTGTCGTGCTTTATTTTAAAAGTATTGAAAGAAGATTGATCAATATAGAATTGTTGAAACGTTTTGAAAATTTTATTATCTGTAAATCTGATATCAATTAGAGAATTCATTCATTATTTTTAATATGTACGAATAGATCAAAGTTTTAACATTTCATTAGATATATTTTGATATTATGCCATTCGCGCTAGTATTATTTTATGATTAAGTAATTTTTAACTGAGATAATGTACAAGATTCAGACAATATTATGAAATATTCGAATGTATGTAACAATGAAATTCAATCGGTGTGCTTTTGATAATGTACTTACTACTTGATTAATTGAAAATTCAGTCCATGCAACGATTATAGAATATCTTCTAATCAAACTACGAATTTCAGACGTGTAATTCACGTAGCAAAAATTAATTAATTTAGTACTTAACGCGCTGAGACTTACAAATCAGAAATTTTCAAGAAGTTCATTACGATCTATTAGACCAAAGAATTGTGTTTCAATGGTAATAAACTGTTAGCTATTTGTCGTGTGAAAGAATGTCACAGAAGAGTATGCCTGTCAGATTAATTTAAATTTTCTAATCGTGAATCATGTTTCCGTTTAGGTAACTTGTAAAATAAACTTTTTACATAAAAGTACCTTTTGTGATTTCGCAGTTATCCACTCACGTCATTGGCAATTCTAATTGAATAAGGAACATCGTGTATAGTCACGTTACTATGTATAAGTTGACCTGTTCTTCTTATGTCATTAACGAAATTTTGTTTATAGTTTCGCCACCTGAAATATATCATTATTGCTGGACAATTTGTAAAAAAAGTTTATAACTGACTCATAGTAATGTGTGGTACCTGCGATTGTTCACGAATTCTTTAAACAATTTTTCTTTAGTTGGAAATTTCGAGTCCATAAACAATTTCACACGTTCCCAAATATTAGCACGATTGTGTTCGTTTATCCAATAACGTGGAACCAGAAAACACCGAACATTTGTTTTTGACACTATTCTTCTATCGATCATATTTTCACCTAAAAAAAAAAAGTATGTTAGTTCGAAATAAATTTTTTTTAAAGTAGAGATAGAACTTATAACGCGTTACCAAGTCCGAAGCAGGCACCTCTGGTAAACGTTGAAATTCGCATAAATATTGTACGTACATTACTTGGATAACATTGTTGTTGAGATATGGAAGAAGGTTCTCTTAACAACATTTCTGCTACATCCGTGATTTTGTGCCACTCATTTATCTTCACAATTAAAAATTTTCATATGAAATAAAAATCATCTAATTTTTAACTCATTTTTTCAATTATAACAGGATTTAGCGTCAAGCGAAGTAGAAAATTCGAAAAAAGTTCTCAAATTGGGGGAGCCTAAGTCTCTCCTTAAAATAACTTTTGAACTAATCAATTTTCGATCTAAATACCTTATTACGTTTTTGTAGAAAATAAAAAGATGCTTCAATTAATGTATAACAAAATACATAATTTCATTTAAGAACATAAAGATGACATATTATATACATATACTTACGACATCCAATAATGTAGTTGTAACAATGCTAGAACGATCAAAATCGACGCGTTTGTCAAGGGGTTTCGATGACAATAGCAACTGAGTGTAATCTATCAAATGCCCACTGTCGGTTACGCCGATATCACTCTGCGTTAAAAATTATTCGGTATAAAAATGCAAAAATCTTCCCGTTTGTTATTTGTAATGCTGAAAAATTCTACTCTAATAAATTTATGTTCATATACCAGTTCATCCATCTTTTGCTCGCCTAATTCTAAATCTTTTATTGATCTTCTCACTTCATCTCGTGTAGGGCACGTTCTGGAATCGTATAATTCATAGTGCGTTCCACGCATGGAATGTTCCTCACGAACAATGATATGTTCTATTAGTTCACATTCACCTTCTAATAGAAAATGCACGTAGTTCACCATCCCCTTACCGTCACCTAGTAAAACCTTAAATAATTAATTTCTTTATTGAATAAAAGAAGGTTCAAACTTCGTCAACTAAACAACTTAACTTTCAATTTTGTACCTCGTCAGCTTGAAATTCTTTTAATCTACTAAGAATGCAACATTCTCTCATCATCTTCTCGTCCCAGCATTTGAAATAATTAAAATAAATTAACGCCTCTTGGAGGGCGTTCCATTCTTTCATCAAAGTAGGTCGTAAAATATCTTCAAAATCCTGGGAACAGATCAAAATCAAATCCACGGTGGCTGTAAATAAAGAGAAATAAATTAGATTTATTAACAGTAATAAAACGACGATACGTACTGTTTGAAATTACTGTCGCTGATCTTGGTAATTTATGTAATAACGCAATTTCGCCGAAAATATCTCCTGGATTTAAAATACCCATGTCAATTTCCCTCATTTCATCTGAAAATAAATTAAATTTCTATTAGATAGGCACCCAGAATTTTACTCTAACCGAGGGGGGTAAACGTACCGGTCCAACGATCGATGACCACCTTCGATAAACTGACCTCTCCACTAACAATAAAATAAAGATTCTCAGCTGGACGATCCTGTCGTACAATTATTCGACCTGGTGATAAGTACTGATAAAAGCATACTCCAGCTAAAATTTCTTGCAAACGTTCTGGATATTTTTTAAACACCCCAAACTTCTTAAACAGCTCGAATATGTACGTTCTTTCGACTGATGTTCGATCGTATGGATTCGTTAATAAAATAGAACGATCCTTCAATGAAATATATTTAAATTATCCATTTGTATTCTTTGTTATAAATTACAATAAATGGATAATTTATGAACCTCCAGAGTAAGTGTTTTCTTCTCGACTTTCTTCGCTTGTGCCCTTTTAATATTAATCGCAACATCGTCGCTAATTTCTTCAACTACAGGTTCTTCAGTTAGCCATTTCATGTATATTAGGATACGTCTGAACGCAGAACGAAAAAGCTGAATTCCTTTTAATCGATCTACCTGTTTATACATTAAATATTAATCATTTTTATTATTTAACACCTTGTGATCGAAAGGTGTAAGATCTACCCTTTGCAAGATGAACCGTAGGTTCTGATTTAAACGAAGGAAATTTTTAATTTAAATAAATAATTATACTTCTTCTTGATGTATTAATTGTTATTCAAATAACGTTCTCCCCAGTATTAATACTGAAATATTCATGTATTGTTTAAATAATGAAAGTTGTGCAAATTTATTTACCCTTTTAACTAATAAAGATTTTCTTGTCAATGCTGCCATAAATGACTCACGTAAAGACTTTCTTCTTCCTGTTGGTTCCATTTTAATTTTTTCGTAATTTCACAAGAAGTAACAAATTTTGTATATTGAAGAAGAAAGTAATAACTGTATTGTTTGATCAATAAAGTAATGGAGGATTGTCATGGGGTTGATACATTAAACTGTCATTTTTCTATTTTTCCTCATTTTTCTTTGTTTTTCTTCCTAAAATGTTCATTTTAAATGACTTCTTTAAATACTTGAATCTATAATTAGCATTATAGACATTATTTATTCTAAAGATACCATAGCTTTTCATGATTTCATATTGATTGTAATTCACTTTGGATTGAAAACTATAATGTTTATTATCGTTTTTAATATCTTTATTATTGTTATATAATATATATTGTTTATAAATTGAATAATGTCGATAATGTAACTCCCTTTTATGAAAGATGATCTAATATCTGCTCTACGTTATAGGTGGTTTGTGGTATTGCTACTGACTTGCACATGCGAAAATGACAAGTATATTTGGATGAGTTTATGAACAGTATTATATTTAATATTGTGAGTCTCTGTAAAGTGACTTTTGCTTTGGATAAAGAACTGAATTAAAGACATCTGAGAAATAATGGTAATACATAGCGTCAGTTTTAATTTCTCTCCATCTAAAGTATACTCAGAAACCTAATGCATTATTGTATTTCTAATGCATTCTGTTTCAGAATCAGGTTATGGGGTAGCATATACATACAGTACCATTTTTTAATTCACACTGTAATATTAAGCAATCAATAGCTTCTATATATTTGTACAAAATAACAACGTTAAAATATCAATTTTCAGAGTTTTGATTTACCATCAGTTATTCCACAACCTACTGCCAATGGCCAGTTTAACATTCGCGATGACAGCTATGGTGTGCCTAGTCCTATGATTTCTGGGTATAGTATTTATATTAAACAATGTCAGGAGGAATTAATTTTCTTATATTGTATTTAATATTTTTCAGACTAGGTGCAGTAAGACAAAACATAGGTTATTCTCATCCCTTAGAAGCATCTGAAAGAAATGTAAACAAATAATTGCAAACCATTAATGTTCATCTAATCATTATAACGATGTTAATTAATTAATTAATTACCTTATTATGTGCATATTTTAGTACGAAAAAAATCGCACACGTATGAACATGATACTGCTTAGAAACACACAAGGATTGCATGCTCCAATGCGTATGGCAATGGAATTAAAAGCTACTGAAAAAATTGGAAGACTTCCATTTCTTCCATCTTCAAATATGATGAGAGATGTTTTACTTGGAAAAGATGAGGAAATAGGGTAATTCTATATAAAATTATTATTGTATATGAGTTATAACTTACTGGAACATTGTGTTATACTATTTTCTTCATGTACTTAGGTTTGAAGATATATTAAATATACCTGACTTCAGAGAACAAATGGGTCAACCTCATGCTGTTGTTGAGAAAAGTCTTGGAATCTTATAAATAATAAACTATTTGTTTATAACATGTAAGATACTGGTTTTGTATTATTGAATACCTTAAATAAAAATAAATATTTAACTCCTATAACTTATTTATATATCATGACTCAAAAGAAAAAAATGTGTATCCAATTTAGTAATGGTAAATTAATAAAACCATTCTGTAAAATACTTAAATTGATATACATTACTATCTCTCGCTTTTACGAAGCGCAAATTTTTAAACTTGATCAGCAAAAGCATGTGCAAAGTTCATAAGATTATCGGTAATCGATTTATGTATTTTAGTCTATTTTTCTTTAACGACTACTTGGTATCACTAATCTTTAATATTCTTATATGTTGAAGTAGGTATAAATATATGTAAATTTATTATAATAAGTAAGTTCTTAGCACATCATCCATATCGACAAATGAAACTGTGTTTATCGTTTAGGTTGAAAAAGTTAACACAATCCGCAAGTGAATGGTAGGAGATACAAACTCACTGAATTGCTGATTTATTTCAAGTATACACATATTTATTTATTAGACATTTCATATTTTCGTTTTTTAAGTGTTCTGCATGGTATATAAGTAAAATATACTCGATACGATCTTGGATTTATTCCGTAAAGAAACTACATAACCTTTGGATTACATTGGCTGGTACTCAAGCATTAGAAAGAATGTCAAATATTAAAATATTAGACGGTGGATTTTCTGCACAATTATCCACTCATGTTGGCGCAAAAATCGATGGTGATCCCCTGTGGACAGCAAGATTTTTAGCAACAAATCCTAATGCTGTTTATGCCACACATTTAGATTTCTTAAGAGCAGGGGCAGATATTATAGAGACTAATACATACCAAGCTTCAATTCCTGGTTTAATGAAATATTTATCTATCACTGAGGGAGAAAGTATAAATTTATTACATGAAGCTGTTAAGCTTGCCCAAAAAGCTGTTAATGATTATACTAAAGAGATTGAAGGAAATAATAATATTGAAAATAAGAATCCAGTGATTGCTGGTTCTTGTGGACCATATGGAGCTAGTTTACATGATGGTTCTGAATATAATGGGGCTTATGGTAAAACAACACCACGTGAAGTAATGATGCAATGGCATAAATCGCGTATTGATGCCCTGATTGATTCTGGTATAGAATTATTAGCATTAGAAACAATACCCTGTTATCAGGAAGCAGAAGCATTGGTGGAACTTTTGAAAGAATATCCAAATGTCAAAGCATGGCTTTCATTTTCATGTAAAAGAAATAGTCAAAATATAGTAGATGGAAGTAATTTTCAAGAAGTTGCCACACATTGCTATAAGATGGCTTTGCCTGGCCAAATAATTGCTATTGGTGTGAATTGTCTTGCCCCAAAAGATGTATCTCCTTTACTAAGAAATATTAACAAAAATACAGCAAATCAATTTATACCATTAATAGCATATCCTAACAGTGGAGAAATATATTCATTACCTGAAGGATGGATAAAGGATGAAAGTTATCCTCCATTTGAAAATTTTATTCCTGAATGGCTAGAGATTGGGGTACAGTACATTGGAGGTTGTTGCAGAATGTATGCAGAAAATATCAAATCAATCAGAAAAGAAGTAAATAGCTTTAAGAAAAAGGAAGCAGAAAAAGAAGACTAACTTTCTTTCAATATAATATTCAAATCTTCCTATTTTTACTAAATAACGAAATTTATTGATTAAATATTGAAGTAATTATATTACTATTTTATATAATTATGTACTGCTATTTTGTAAATATTTTAATCTGGTACCTCGTTTAATAAACATACTGTTTTCATTATTTCACAATTTATTTTTTTATAAAATAACGCGAAAAAAATTTATATAAGATATTGATAAATATAGACTAACGCTTATCAAACGTGTATTAGATATCATTTAAAACACTCAACAATGTTCCACACGTTGATATACAGCATATTGCGCAGTTTATCTCGACGAGTATAAACACGTGACAAAATTTGATCTTAGTGGCGTGAAGAGTTTTTACTATTTAGGTACGAAGAAAACGATCTTTCACTGCATAACGTTTTACTTCCTTTTAAGATTTGATTCACTTTCAATATTTATCTCACAGATTTCGTTATGGACTTTGGAATAAATGTATTCACCGAGACCAATTGTAGCAAATATTGCCTCAGACTTGCAGTATCATTTATCCAACTAAGACGTGTGTGAAACTGAAACCTAATTATTATTCGTACGATCTTTTCATATTACGAAATATGTGTTAGTGTTGAACAATTACGATTATAATTTTACCATATTGAAACAATTTTGTATATTCCTCTATAACTATACATTACTCAGTTATTTATTTGTACCATAAATAATTTATAAGAACCAATCACTACAATTCTAGTAGAAAATCATGCAAGAAGTAAAAGTATTAGATGGAGGATTTTCTACACAATTATCAACACATGTGGATGATCCAATAGATGGAGATCCCTTGTGGACAGCACGATTTCTTGTTACAAATCCAGAAGCTATTATTGCTACACATTTAGATTTTCTAAAGGCTGGAGCAGACATAATTCTTACAAATACTTATCAGGCATCCATAGATGGCTTTTCAAAATATATGAATATGACCGAAGAAGAAAGTCTTGACTTATTTTCTAAAGCTGTAGATTATGCTAAGGAAGCTGTAAATTTATATAAAAAAGATATTGAAAATATACAAATTATAAATGCAAATCCACTGATTGCTGGATCTGTAGGACCATATGGTGCCTGTTTACATGATGGGTCAGAATATACTGGCAAGTATTGCTCACTTGTGTCCAAGGAGATTCTTATGGATTGGCATAGACCACGTATTAGACAATTAATTGCTAGTGGTGTTGATCTATTAGCAATAGAAACAATACCATGTAAAAAAGAAGCAGAAGCATTGGTTGAATTACTTAAAGAATTTCCCAATATTAAAGCCTGGCTATCCTTTTCCTGTCGTACTGATGGAAAACACATAGCTGATGGTTCTGACTTTCAAAATGTTGCAGTACAATGTTATAAAAAGGCTTTAAAAGGGCAGATTCTAGCTGTTGGGGTTAATTGTATTGCACCACAAAAAGTGAGTTCCCTGTTTAAAGGAATTAATGCAAACAACATGCTAGAATTTATTCCACTAGTAGTATATCCCAATAGTGGTGAAATTTATACAGTGGAAACAGGTTGGATGAAAACGAATGATTATTATTCCTTACATCAATTTATACACGAATGGCTTAATTTGGGGGTTCGATACATGGGCGGATGTTGCAGAACACATGCCGCAGATGTAGAAAAAATACGAGCAGAAGTAGAGAAATGGAAAAGTGCCTGAATCTTATTATACTCTCAATAATCAAACTCGAGCAATTACCAACGAGCAACAACTTTGTTAATTATGCATATATACAACTTTTTATCTTTGGATCGAAAAATCATATATACGGAAAATAAATTTTTATGTAATATTTTTTCCTATAAATAAAGTTATTATAAAAATAAAATATTTAAACAATGTTAAATTTGCTTTCACCTTCCACGTATGAAACCTAAATGCATGCAATAAAATATACAATTATATATATTAAGTTTTTTATTTACGGAAAAATATAAAATATCGTAATATGATTATACTATATAAAATCTTTAAATATATATAGAATACTTATCATCACCAAATATTATTAATAAATAATATTTAAATAGTTTATATTTAATATGTATATATTAATTCTGTATTGATTGATTAATGTATGTAAGTTCATTACCTACATCATACACGTTGTTTTCCATACTTACTTTAATAGTCTTACTTTCCATATCGACAATGAACTTAGAATTAGGTGGGATTTGAGTTTTACCTTTTAATACATCGTCGGGAACAGGCTTACTTCTAGGTCCTAGAAGAGGATCATCATAACGGTACAGAACAATCGATGACAAATCTGAAAAAAGAAATAAATACTAACAATAAGTTATAACATAATAAATTATTGTAGAACTTTTGTGGTGATTGGCTGCGTACCTTTTATATGCTTATTTTCTTTTAATATTCTGGATATAACGTCTACTGCAGTATCCGAATCTGAGATTTTTACAGATGTTCTAAATAAACCACTGCATTTTTGTGAATTCATAACACACACAGAAATGCCAGGTTTAGTAGAAAAGTTTACATAAGGAGAGCCAGGACAACATTCTCCTTTCGTTTTTTCAGGGGCTTCATCGGTATATTTTATCGTAATATTCTCCAACTAGATTTGGCCGTAAAGGAAAATTATCGAACGTCAAAGATGTCAATACAAATGAAGAACGGTACTTACATCTAAAGTGTTCTCAAGATACTGTTTATTATCTTGAAGAACTTTGAATTCATCAAAATCTAATGTCAAATCCAGTGCACTCAATCCAATTTGTTCCATTTTCTCTCGCACAACTTGTACAAATGGCATTACGCGTTTCATATGCGTCTTTAATACCGGAAGTTTTCCGAGTTCTGTGACAATGACTTTATTTTCGGGTAGTTTATTGCCATTTTCCTGAAAAATAATTTAATATATTAATAATGTGAACACGCTATTTTCTTCAAATCTACTAGTTAATAATTACGCACGAGATATAAATTTTTCAGCGTAGTTAAAATAGTATTTTGCCAAAGAGGATACGTTTTTGCTACCCAAATTGTTCCTTGAGTAGGTTTATCTATTACTGGTGATTCTGTTTTTCCTTTTGGTTTCTTTGGCGTCATATAATTCTTTAAAAGAATCCTAAACGAATGCGCAGTATTCATAAGATACTGCGATGATTTTATAAGGATTTCATCTATTTCTCCTACTTGAGGCCATCTAGCATTTAATATGCTACCTTCCTATAAAAAAATATTTAATCCCCAATGTAACATTATTAATTTCGATATTGAATTTTATTTCTTTAATTAACATTCTATATTAGACATTGACACTTACTTTACCGATGAGATTCCATATATACTCTGATACATGTGGACAAATGGGAGACAAAAGAATAACTTGAAGTTCTATGAATTTCATAATTAATGTCCAATTAACTTTGTCCAGTGTACTTAACTGTATATATTTATCTTTTGCTGCTTGTAGCTCGAAAAATCCTGTTTTCAGCGCTTCTTTATACAACATTTTGGAGTAATTCTCTCCCGTCTCTCGTATTTTTAAATTAATTTCGCTAATTCATAAATTAAATACACGACATTAATTTTATAAATAAAAATTTGAAAGTAATTCAATAAATACCTTTCAAAAACCTTGTCATTAAATGTACATGGTTCTCCATGTCTAAAAGTATTCTTAGAGGCTAATACTTCTTTTACCCATTCAATAAAATTATATAATCTTAGAATTCCAGCATCAGCCATACTTTCCACAAAATTAGCATCTTCTATCGAATCGCCGGAATCGGCTAAACAAAGTCGCATACCATCCGCCGAAAACTTTTGTACGGCTTCAGTAAGTGTTAAGAAATTACCCTCTGATTTTGACATCTAATAAAATAATGTTTATACAAACCTTTATAAAAATGACCAATTATACCTAAGAGTTAAACTTACCTTGGCCGAATTTAACTGTAAATGCCCATTCGCTCTTATTCCTTTCGGCCACAATTCAGGCTGATCAGGCCACATCGCAGTATGATTATAAATGCAAAATGTAAGATGATTTTGTACCAAATCTTTACCAGACACTCTCACATCTACCGGATACCAGTAATAAAATTCACGTCGCATATGATCTAATGCTTCTTTCTTAATATTTGTTTTTGGAAATTTAGCATCTTTAAAGAATATGTAGTCCCATACTGCCGGTGTCATTTCACTGGCCCTAAATAAAATCATTTTCTTAACACAAATATACATATGCAATAGATGTGAGATATTTTGACATAAAATTAGGAATTTTACTTTATATTATATGTGTTTGGCTTGTCGCCTTTAAATGTTCCACCTTGCAATAAATGAGCTACTGTGTAGTAAGCCATGTAGATTGTTGAATCTGAGAGAGATTCTATTAACCAAGTTTCATCCCATGGCAATTTGGTACCTATAATATGTAGTTATAAACCATTTGCTAATATTCTTTGATGGAAAGAAACAAATATTTACCGAGACCGTAAGTTCTTGAACAAGCATATTCGTGTAACCAATCAAGACAAGCTAGAAAATTTCTTCTCACTTCATCATGATAAGTATTAAGATTATTTAAGGCTTTCATTGTTTGTTTCTTCCAATTTTCTTCCCCATAATCTAAATACCACTGATTGCATAAGGCTACTACACATTCATCATTCGATCTAGATATTACAGCCTTTTCAGGTTCATAATATACAACTGCTTCATTCTTATCTACCAATTCTTTCTGTATCTGTTTTTTAACATCTTTAATTTTCGTTCCTTTGTATTTACCAACTAGTAATACACCATCATAAAAACCTTTCAGATATAATATCTCTTTTGCTTCTAATAGTTTAGTCTTATCATTTTGGGACTGAATGTTTAATTTATCGTATAAAGTTACCGCGCCTAAATTACCGTATTCTGGTATTTCAATAATTGGTATCTGCGTGTAAAATTGTATAAAATATAATTTTTGGTTTCAATTCGATACCACCATTAAAAATGTATATCAAACTCACAGGATCATAAGGTAGCACCATTTCATCAGTTATACCGTACTTTTCCCTGAGAGCTTGTTTCTTTTTTAGATCTACTAAAGCTGCATAATCATCAGGAGAATCGCTAGGTACCGAAGTAACAATTCCAGTACCTTTATCTTCCTTAATAGTTAACATTGGTAAAGTATAAATTACTTTATTCACAGTCATAGGAGCTTCCAATGCTAACCCTAATATTTGCTAACATATAATGTATAGAATTTAGCATTCACTATTATCATGACTTCTCTTATCAATAAAAACAGGATACTACCTTTCCAACAAGTTTTGTCACAATTGCTATCTTTCCTTCTTCTTCAAAGAAACCTTGATAAGCCATATTTCGAGCTGCTCTTTCTGTCGATATGAATATATCTCCATTCGATATAGTATACGCGATATAAGATATATCTGGGTGAACCCAACAATTTGTCTGACCATACATGGTTTCTGGTCTCAGAGTTGCAGCTACGAAATACACTGGCTTGTCATACCTATGTAAATATATTCATTTTTAAATATTAAAATTAATTTTTATAATTTTACGTTATACTTACGGTAAACACGGAGGATAAGGTTTTAGCAATTTCATTTTTATTAATGTATATTCTTGTGGTCCTACACCTTCCCCAGTTGATCTATCATGATCCATACAAGGTTGACCATCTTTCGGCGAATAGATTGTATATCTTTTCCCGTATATCACTTTGTTTTTAGCCTTTAAATGTTGAAATTGCCAACGTACAAATGAATCAAAAAATGGATTTGCATCAGTTGTAATGAACGTTCTACGCCAATCTATCTGCAATGAGTTTCATATTGTGTTCTTCAAATATAACCATTCATGTGGCGTGGCTGAACCCGCGGCACGGACGATGTTAAACTCTTTAATAACATACATGCAGCCCAATTGACTTCAAATCTTGCACAGCAAGAGGAGGAAAATAATCTAACCAATATGTAGCATCAGCAAAATTCTTTATTTCTTCATCTTTTAAACCAATTGATTGCATTATTTGCCACTGATATTTGGCAACAGTAGTTTTTGCAAGTGCTTTACTCTGAAATCGAAATTACACATTAGAATAAGAAATATGTGATTAGCTTATATATTATCTCATTACCTTTGTTCCTTTGCTTTTATCTTTCATTACTATATCATCTACAATACTTTCTAGTACTTGGTCCTCTGGAAACTTTGGGGGATAACCATATAAATCCATTTCTCTCTTTAATTTATCAGCACAAGCTTTAATAGGCATACCAGTACAATGAAAACCAAATGGAAAAAGAACCTTTTTCCCTAAGAGACGATTGTATCTTGTTGCAAACTACAAAATCATTAGTTACATTAAAATTACATTAAACTAAGATATGGAAATACAGAATTAAATACCTACTTCACATTTTGATAATGAGAATGTATGACCAAGATGAAGTTTCCCATTCATATAAGGAAAGGGAAAAGTTGTAAAAAACTTTTCATCCTGTGTTTTGCGATCATAGAGAGGTGCATCTTCCTCGTATACTTTCTCAGCTTCCCATTTTGCTTGTACATCTTTCTCAATTTTTTGTAAATATTCTACCTTAAATGTTCCTTTTCTTTCTACTGCCTATGAATAATAATTGTCTTTTCCATCATTTATACCTCAATTAAGTTACTTGAATTAAATAATTAATCTAACATTTATATTACAAATTAAGGGTAGCTAATCAAACAAAATTCAATACTACAGAACTAAATAATAAAACAATAATTTCTTTATTTATTCTTTATTTTTAACAACTATTTGAAATAAATTATTGAGGATACATTGAGAGTTGATTAACAACAGCTTGCAGATTAACAGTACTGACAAGAAAATGGTCAAAAGTGGATGGTAGAGTTGCTCATCCAGACTATGTTTATTCGAAAGGACACAAAACGCGGAGTTAATGATGGAATTTTTGGGTGCCATTGGCAATGGATTTAAAAGTTATGGGACTTCGAAATTTCCATATTTTTAAGTGCAAATGATTAGAAAACATGAGAAATCAAAATATGAAATGAAAATTAAGTGTAAAAGTGACAAAGGCATGAATTTGAGATGATTAGAAGATATTTACTAACAATTAAGATGAGTTTCAGGAAAAATTGCATGTGTGATGCAATATGCACTTAAAAATATGAAACTTTCAAAGTCCCATAACTTTTGAACCCGTTGCCAATGGCACCCAAAAATTGCACCATAACTCCTCGTTTCATGCTCTTTCGAATAAACAATCTGGACGAGCAACTCTACCATCCACTTTTGACCATTCCCTTGTGAAGTTATTCTCATTAATTCTATTATTACAATTCAACCAATTATTAACTGCATTGATAAACAATCAGTATAAGTTAAACAAGAATAATATTAATGCTTACCATTTTTGCAATATGTATTAATAGAAGAAAGTAAATTTAAGTAAATACTGCGCGTAATTCCGTACACCATCAGCAACCATGTGCCATGTGCCGGTTTTATGACATATATATACATACTGAACAAGGCACTGACAAAACGAAGAATAGATCTACAATCTTATGAGACTTTGTGTTGGATGTTCTGAAATACCGACATACTTATAAAACCTCATTTTTGCCAGTCATTTGTGGCGCACTCTACGATTGAAGACAATGATTTTGGGAACTACATTGTAGCTGAAGGATCTATGGATCCTTTCAAATAAACGAAACAACGAAACAAAAAGAACTCAATAAATGTACTTCGTAGCTATGTTTATTCGAAATAATTAACGTTACAAAGAAAATGGGATTTCAAGTTAGGTGGGAATCGTAGCACTTGGCTCGGTATCGTTTTCTAAAATCTATCTTCTGATAAATGTTTAGGAAACGATACCGATTACCAGGTCACACCACGTGGAGGTGGCTACGTTAGTGACCCACCCTAAAATCATAAGAACGTGAAACCATTCAAAACATCCAACATAAAATAAAAATTTAAACAATACAATCCTGAAATAGAAAATAAAATTAACATCCTAATAATAGAAACAATTGAGAAAATAATAATAATTTAACAATAAAATGCTGCAACGGAAAACATAATTATTAGGATTAGATATACAATAACGTGAAACCATTCAAAACATCCAACATAAAATAAAAATTTAAACAATACAATTCTGAAATAGAAAATGAAATTAACATCCTAATATCAGAAACAATTGAGAAAATAACAATTCAATAATAAAATGCTGAAATAGAAAATATTAACATCATAATTCCTGTAACAATTAAGAAAATAACAATTTAACAATAAAATGCTGAAATAGAAAATATTATTAACATCATAATTCCTGTAACAATTAACAAAATAACAATTAAACAATAAAATGCTGAAATAGAAAATAGAATTAACATCCTAATATCAGAAACAATTAAAAAATAATTCAACAACAAAATGCTGAAATAGAAAATATAATTAACATCATAATTTCGATTACAACTGAAATGAAAAATGCTGAAACAGAATATATAATTACCATTACAATCTCAGAGTAGGTTTTAAATAAATAGAACATAATTAAAATAAGAACATGAAATATAATTGATGTGCAAATCAATAAGAAAAGAATAATTTATTTCAATCAAGCAATAAACGAAAAAGAAATAGGGGAAATAAAATCGCGAGTTGACCATTCAACGAGTTGGGTACTGAACTCGTAAAATGTCGAGTTCAATACGTCCTGGACGGTATTATTCATACCGTTCAAGGAAAAACACAAAAAATGAAAAAACAAATTAGCGAGCATAGTGACAGAATGACTGTCCATCCGAAGATGGAGAGCCATTAGTAGTTCCCCTCTTCTGGGCAAATTTTGCCGGGGCTCTTCAGCATATAGCCTCTTCTTTCTTCGGCAATAGCCTCACAAAAATCACTCGCGAAAATTTTACGTTTGCTCAGACGTTTGTAAAAACGTAACACGTAAACGAGCAACGATCCCTTGAATCGCTACTCGCATACTTGCACAATTTTTGCAAATGTCCAAGCACAAAACACTTTTTAATTTCACTTCACTTCACTTCACTGCACTTTCACTTTAATACTTCATTTTTGTAATCGGGTCTATTACCACGACTACGACTTACAAACTAATAAGGCTTGGCCTTGAAAAAATCAAGAGAGAATGCTAAATTAATTAATTAATCAACTAATTAATTTGCATTTTCATTTTTCCTCTCGATTTTTTAATTTCCAACCCCAGATACAAGCTTCTCACGTATTAGAGGAGAATACGAAGAGAAACATGAAAGCTTGCTCTGGCCCTGCCTACTTATAAACTAAACTCAATCACACCAGAAGTAAACTACCTGCCTGCCTATCGCTATATTTAAAAAAGGGCAAAAATCATTCTCACAAAAATTCACTCCACGGTTCTCATGCAACCACCCGGGTGCAAAAATGCCTACACCTAGAGAGAACGTCCCGGGACGCCTCCGACACCCGAGTTCAATTCAACTTTCACACTCTAATAAAATCATACCTGTTTGCTGAAATCGACTGACAAATAATAGTGAACATTATGCTAAAGTAATACATTTCATTTTCATATTCTATTGAATTATCTAATGTAAAAATTTTGCAATTTATTCTTGATAAGTATTTTGCAATGATATAGTAAGTTAAGATTGTTAATAAACGATACAAATCCCACATCCTAACCACACACACACATGTGGAACTTATATCGTGGTTCACTATTGGTTCACTACTTTTGTCAGTCGCCAAAATGTACACTTAAAACTAAACCTTGTCCACCGCCCTCCACCCACGCGAGTACATCTAAGTACCCGAATGAGCTTTGGGCATAAAAATGAACAAGGCCAAAGGTATTTTCACCTACCAGTTTTCTTCATGTGTGCTGAAATGCCTAAGCTAAAACGTATGATTAGCAAAAACTAAAGATGATATTCTCACTTTATTAAAAGTAAGAATATCGGCAAAATTTCACGGCTCCGATTTAGTATATGGGCTGGCCCCCCCCAGGGGGTTTTATTTTTAATAAAAGTGACTCGACTTTGCAAATATAAAGCTTGAAGAGCAAATACAGAAAAGCAGAATTGAGCAACTATGACAAAATGGTGCACTGCTAATATCAGCTGGCAACGGAGGTTCTTAGGCCCCCTGGACTTACGCCCGACGCTACATACCACCCACCCCGCCTGGACGTCGTAACGCCAGGACAGGATGCACCCCTTCGCTAAGAGCGCTACCCGCCCGTCCAACACGTTGCATCCAACGGTGTCAGATTGACGGACGCCCATAGTATAGACAAAAGGACTACAGTTTAGAATATGGTAACATATTTTCATATGTTCCGTATTCTAAAGCTGCGCCTGCAAAAGCCTAGTAATGCATGGGTTTATCTCCCATGAGATGGTGTTTCACGGTCTTATGCCGCGGAATCCTTGTAACTAATTTGATTAAATAAAATATTGGATTGAGTTTAAAAACCAAAAGGATTCCCACCGAATACTAGTCAGTGCATTGTCATATTTACCCTCGCGTTGTAAATTTTTCGCAACACTAATTAAAATAGAAAATCCTGATCTAAAAACATGACTAATACATAAACATCTAACGAGCTAATATTTCACTATACTGATGAATGATGAGTGTGAATGATGAGGGTTTAGGGTCGAGAACCGTGAACGTGACAGAATGAATTTGAAATATGAACGAAGAGCTTTCTATAATGCTTGAAGAGCAAATACTGTAAAGCAAAATAGAGCAACTATGACGCAAAAACGGTGCACTTCTAATATCAGCTGGCAACGGAGGTTCTTAGGCCCCCTGGACTTACGCCCGACGCTACATACCACCCACCCCGCCTAGGAAAGGATGCACCCCTTCGCTAAGAGCGCTACCCGCCCGTCCAACACGTTGCATCCAACGTGTCAGATTGACGGACGCCCCTAGTATAGGCAAAAGGACTGCAGTTTATTAAATGGAACATATGGATGTGCGCCACATTCTAAACTGCGCCTTGATAGGCCTAGTAATGCATGGTTTTATCTCCCATGAGATGGTGTTCACGGTCTTATGCCGCGGAATCCTTGTAACTAATTTGATTAATTAAATAAAACATTGAGTTTAAAAACCAAAAGGATTCCCACCGAATACTAGTAAGTGCATCGTCATATTTACTCTCGCGTTATTTTTCGCAACACTAATTAAAATAGAATATCCTGATCTAACAACATGACTAAAGGGGAGCTTTAAATTATGCTTGAAGAGCAAATACTGAAAAGCAAAATTAAGCTAATATGACTCAAACATTCGTCCACTGCTAATATCAGCTGGCAACGGAGGTTCTTAGGCCCCCTGGACTTACGCCCGACGCTACATACCACCCACCCCGCCTGTTTAAGGCTCTAGGCCCAGGCAGGGTGCACCCCTTCGCTAAGAGCGCTACCCACCCATCGAACACGTTGCATCCAACGAGTTCGAGTGGTGGACGCCCATAGTATAGGCAAAAGGACTTTAAGACAGCTTAGCGTATGGGATGCAACATACTTAAATGTTCCGTACTCTATGGCTGTGCCTGAAAAGGCCTAGTAATGCATGGTTTTATCTCCCATGAGGTGGTGTTCACGGTCTTATGCCGCGGAATCCTTGTAACTAATTTTATCAAATAAAAACCAAAAGGATTCCCACCGAATACTAGTCAGTGTATAGTCATATTTACTCTCGCGCCGGAAATTTTTCGCAACACTACTTAAACTTGAAAATTCTAACCGAGTAATATTTACTCTCGCGTTGAAAATTTTTCGCAACACTACTTAAACTTGAAAATTCTAACGGGGTAATATTTACTCCCGCATTGAAAATTTTTCGCAACACTACATAAACTTGAAAATCTTTACGGGGTAATATTTACTCTCGCGTTGAAAATTTTTCGCAACACTACTTTAACTTGAAAATCCTAATGGGGTAATATTTCACTACACAAGGGTATGCGGGTGGATAAATGATTATGTGATAGAGTTCGTGAGGCTGAAGTGTGAATGGTGAGTGTTTAGGATCGAGAACCGTGAACGTGACAGAATGAATTTGAAGTATGAACGAAGAGCTTTCTATAATGCTTGAAAAGCAAATACTGAAAAGCAAAATAGAGCAACTATGACGCAAAAATGGTGCACTTCTAATATCAGCTGGCAACGGAGGTTTTCGGGCCCCCTGGACTTACGCCCGACGCTACATACCACCCACCCCGCCTAGAACAGGGTGCACCCCTTCGCTAAGAGCGCTACCCGCCCGTCCAACACGTTGCATCCAACGTGTCAGATTGACGGACGCCCATAGTATAGACAAAAGGACTGCAGTTTATTAAATGGAACCTATGGATGGGCGCCACATCCTAAACTGCACCTTGAAAGGCCTAGTAATGCATGGGTATATCTCCCAGAGATGGTGTTCACGGTCTTATGCCGCGGAATCCTTGTAACTAATTTGATTAATTAAATAAAACATTGAGTTTAAAAACCAAAAGGATTCCCACTGAATACTAGTAAGTGCATCGTCATAGTTACTCTCGCGCTGGAAATTTTTCGCAACACTAATTAAAATAGAAAATCCTGATCTAGCAACATGACTAAAGGGGAGCTTTAAATTATGCTTGAAGAGCAAATACTGAAAAGCAAAACTGAGAAAATATGACTCAAACATTCGTCCACTGCTAATATCAGCTGGCAACGGAGGTTCTTAGGCCCCCTGGACTTACGCCCGACGCTACACACCACCCACCCCGCCTGTTTAAGGCTCTAGGCCCAGGCAGGGTGCACCCCTTCGCTAAGAGCGCTACCCACCCATCGAACACGTTGCATCCAACGAGTTCGAGTGGTGGACGCCCATAGTATAGGCAAAAGGACTTTAAGACAGCTTAGCGTATGGGATGCAACATACTTAAATGTTCCGTACTCTATGGCTGTGCCTGAAAAGGCCTAGTAATGCATGGTTTTATCTCCCATGAGGTGGTGTTCACGGTCTTATGCCGCGGAATCCTTGTAACTAATCTTATCAAATAAAAACCAAAAGGATTCCCACCGAATACTAGTCAGTGTATAGTCATATTTACTCTCGCGCCGGAAATTTTTCGCAACACTACTTAAACTTGAAAATTCTAACAGTGTAATATTTACTCTCGCGTTGAAAATTTTTCGCAACACTACTTAAACTTGAAAATTCTAACGGGGTAATATTTACTCTCGCATTGAAAATTTTTCGTAACACTACTTAAACTTGAAAATCCTAACTGGGTAATGTTTCACTACACAAGAGTATGCGGGTGGATAAATGATTATGTGATAGAGTTCGTGAGGCTGAGGTGTGAATGATGAGTGTTTAGGACCGAGAACCGTAAACGTAACCACCCCCCTGTAGGGGGGGCCAGCCCATATACTAAACTTATGCCAGTTTAATGAGTAAAATCGGAACGTTTCAATTTCAAGAGCGATTTCGTTATCAAAGTAAGTAGTTGGAATAATTAAAAGTATTCATGCTTATTACTTTGATATGGAAATCTGCTCATCGCGAAATAAATTCTTGTACATATAAAAAAGAAGGTGTATTCTGAAATCGGAGGGTCATCCGACTTCTCTACACTTTTAAACTCGAAATTTATATATGGAAATATGTACAAGAAAACCCTAACCTAAGCTAAGACATGAAATAAAACAGAAAAACAATTTGCACGATTATCATTGTATAAAATTATACAGTGATATTCGTGGGTCACTATGCTCGCTCAAAAGATAAAAATTACAACCAATTCCCGTGTCGCTTTGGACCATTCGTCCTACGACATGATGGGAACCGGAGGAACTTTAAAGCATGCGACTCACCGATCGTTGACTTGCACCATTGCACTCGCAACGTCTCTGAGACCCATGGTTGGCCCATGACTGATCAGTGCTCACTGTAGTCAAACCTGAAACCAAAAAAATCACGATTCTTGAACGATATACATATATTTAATCTTAATATGTGTATTATATTTAACGTGATCAAATTTATTCGTGCAAACATGCAATAAACAAATATTTATAACTTTGCAAATATTCCAGTACGCATGCAAAATAATATAAAAATTACCACATCATAAAACAGAGTAATACGTATGTAAAAATATAATGAAACACATAGGAAACTACATTATAAGACTCGTTAATAAATCCGTATAAAAATGCCAAAACACATGGGGAACCATATCATAAAACACCACAAAGCATGCATAGACATTCTAAAATACATGGGATACCACACCATAAAACACTATAAAGCACATGCGGGTACATCCCAAAATACATGGGGCACCACATTATAAAACACACTAATAAATCCGTATAAATATTCCAAAATGCATAGGGAAGCACACCACAAAGCACATGCGTATACATCCCAAAATACATGGGACACACTTATCCACTTGTATAAAAATGTCAAAACACATGCGGAACCACACCATAAAGCACACTGATAAATCCGTATAAATATTCCAGAATGCATGGGAAACACCATAGAGCACACACAGTAACACACACGGTAACACATAGATGACCACATGCATGAAAACCATGGTTATAGACCCGTACCGGTATATGTTTGACAGGTACATCCGTACGCCTCGACGGTCGCGATTAAACTGGTTAGGTTTCACCTCCCTCTAGGTCGCGCGCTTTGTCAACATAGGTAACCGATCAACCATGACGTTCTGCTTTACCGCCACCGTTACCGCTTATCCGATTTAAATTTTATATTATTTTATTACAATTTTGTTAATTATAATTATTTATTAACTATATTATTGTTATATTATTAAAATTGTCTATTTTTTTTATATTTTCGCGTGGATATATTGCAAAATTTTGTTTAATTATTCTAATTAAATTTATTTAATTTTAATTTTTAATTTTACAATAATTTATTAAACAAATTATTATTATTATACTTATTGAAAATTGTTATTTTTATAACTTTTATGTGTAAATATCCTGCAGTATTAATTATTTATCTTTTATACGATATTGAGAAGTAATTATTGTGTTTTAACATAAGTCTGATTTTTTTGTATATTATTTTTATAATTAATTGAAGATCAAACAGTTATTGAATGTTATACCTCCAGTAATAAACGTTAAAATTTTACAGTTTACTCTTCGATTCCAGAATTAATTCGTTGCTTTTTCAAAAGAATTTATTTCCAAAAACTTCATGTACATGAAGTGAATCACAAAATCACACAATTATTTTAATAATTCGTCGATCTTGTGCTCATTCTGATTTCGGAAAAATAGAATCAAAAGGAATCAGAGTTGTGTCTTTTCAATTGTATAAGTAACTTAATTTCTACCACCAAAAGGGCTTGATAGAATACTAATAATAGTAAGTATTCATGGTATAGCAGGATGTGACATAAAAATGGTAAAGGGGCTTTAATTCCCCCGAGTCACAAGACACAAAAGAGCATTAAATGATAGGTCTATTCTTTACTTATTGTTAGTCTGTAATTAAACTGTTTTCCTCGTATGGGAAATCCCCAGTTCTTGTTTTTCTTTGATTCACTCGTTTCTGGATAAAAAATAATGTTTTTTAATCAAAATTTATTGACTAAGTACTTTATCGAAGTATAACTCTAGAAATTAGTGGAGATAAGTCTATGACGTGGATATGCAAAAAAATTGAGCAAAGTAGGCTTCTTTAGAGAAAATGACGATATAGAGAAAACAAAGATTCTTAAAATATTAATTTTGACGATGTTAATGGGCGATACTGCACAAATAACATGCTCGATACTGCACAAATATACCGCTATAAATAAAATATTTTTAAAAATCGATTCCAGCGACATCTATACAAAAGCGGCTGAAACTACTCGACGAGTTACCGATCGACTTTCCGATAAAGAAGAACACTACCATCTTCTGTCGGTAGGTAGCAAAATACCGGCAAATCGATCGGTAACTCGACGAGTAGTTTGAGCAGTTTCTGTACAGATGGTGCTGGAATCGATTTTCAAAATTATTCGATTTATGGCAGATTTTTTGAAATAGAGGTTTATAATCACACATTTATTAAACAATTATTCTAATAATTTTGCGATCTTATGCTGGTTCTAATTGATTTAAAAAAAAAAACGGGAGTCAAAATTATGTCTATACGAACGTTAGTGCGAGGTATGATGAAAGGGATTGGTAAAACAGTTCTCTACATACAGATTTAACTTCACCTGGGGTATATGGGACCCCCAAAATCATGATCCTTTCAAAAACACAGACAAGTCCAGTTTTTTTTGCATCTGTAGTCACTGCTGGTGCATTCCTGATAACTCTTTGAGATGCCGCCATGCAGCCATCAGCGCCACTACATTACAGATTTACATTGTTACTGTGGAGTGTATAGTAAAAGTATCAGCTGCAGTAATGATACTTAAAATTTGTAAAACGAATACCTACGAAACTAATTTCGAATCAGATTACCACACAGAGTCCCCAAAATTGTGATTTTAGCTATCAAAACCTTTTGTACCAAATTGGCCGATAGGCAGGATCAGTGATATATTTCAATGTATATTTGTATACTTAAATTACACTCTAGTAACGCGCGTTTTAGTATTTGAATTCCTTTGTAACGTCAGTATCGTATAATTTATTGAAGTAAGTTTAATCAATATTATTTTAGCTATTTTGTTGAAACAATTTCATTTAAGAGATATATTAATATATTTTGTGATTGAAATTTAATGTTATTTATTTCATTTTACAGATGGATGATCAAGATCCAACTAGTGTTATCAAAATGATAAAAGATTTGCGGTCAGGTTCTGAAGCATACCGTAAAAGTAGTAGCAGTGGTATATCATTACGACTATCAGGAACTACATTCACATCTGCTTTGTTCAATGAACAAGAGGAATGTACTATTACACCTAAGAGGAGAAGACTTGATTCTGATAGTTCTGCTTTAAATAAGAGTGAGACAGAGATTGCTCCAGGAAGTCCATGGGAATGGAGGAGATTAAAAGGAGAAGTAAGCATCTAACTTAAATTATCTATTAATTTATAGAGATTCAATGTATCAGAAAAATTATATATATATGTTTTATATTAGGTTGTATCCTTAAAAACAAGGCTGTCTCATCAGGAGGCTACAGTACAGCAACTTCATAAGATACGCAGACAAATGGAGGAGGTATTTGAAAAACAAAAAAATGGTTTGGAGATACAGATAGAAGAAGACAAACAAACTATCAAACAATTGGAAGTGAGACTTGATATGGCCCGTAGAACAATTCAAGAAGCACGTAATACACAAGCTGCTGCAGAAAAAGAACTACACCAGGTAAGTGAACTGTGTTTAATTATCGTATATCCCGAAATTTCATGTATAACGTGATCGATAGGTGAAGGCAAATTTGGAACAGAAGACTCTCATGTTGATGAATGAAAATGCAAAACTGTTAGAGGAGCTTAAACATGTTCCTGCACAGGAAACTGTATCAAAACCAAAAGATATTGAAGATCACTCTGGAGCCGAGCAACAGTTCGAAGCAGCGCAAAAACGAATAGCACAGCTAGAGGAAAAATTAAGAGAATATCAGACAAAGCAGCAAGAATTGGAACTACAAAATGTGGAGTTTCAGAGTATAAGAATAAAAGTCGAGAAATTAGAATCAGAAAGAGCATCCTGGGAAGAAGGGAAATTATTACTTGCGAAGGCAGCCAGAACGAACGAGCTCGAGAAAGAGCTTGTCGCCGCGAAAGACACTATTGCTTCGCTGAGAGAATCTGTAAGAGGGAAACTATTGTTAGAGGAACAAATGGCTAATGTAATGAAAAGGTACTGTCCCTAAAATCGCTTCTAAAACTATAAACGTTTCGTTGTTCTACCAATATTTGTATTTTTACAGATTGGAGCACACTGAAAAAGTAGAACAGCAAGTCGCCACGTTAGAAGCGAAAAAAGCGGAACTTGCGTTACGCTTATCCGAATATGAATCCATTGGAATCACTGGTGGACCATCGGTCTTGAAACGCGAATTGAATCGCTTGCAGCAAGCCGAGCTGGTTTTGAAAGCGGAAGAAGGTCAACTCAGATCAAAATTGGACGCTACATTGAGAGAATCACAGAATCTATCAAAGAAATACGAGGATGCTAAGAAATTAGCCACGGATGTGACCGTGTCCAAGGAAAAATTGAACAAATTAGTAAGCAGACTACAGAAGAAGATGATCCTTGTTTCAAGGGAAAGGGATAGTTATAGACAACAACTGGATTTGTACGAGAAGGAGATGACGATAGACAGCAATAATGCGATAACAGAAAGAATTCCTGCATTAGAACGAACGATAGATGCTTATCGGTAATTATAAGATTTCACTTGAAACATTATAGTTTCAATTTCAATACTAAGGAGACTTGTATTTCAGAGAATTAGTTGCCAAACTGGAAAACGATCTTCAAGCAGCTGAGGGTTATAGCCAAGCGGAAGAGTGCAATAAACTGAAGGAGGAAATCGAGCGACTGAAGGGTGAATTGGAGCATCGTGCGTTAAAAGGCGATTTCAATTGCAACGCGAGGATATTGCACTATACCATGAATCCTGCTGCGATCGCGGAACAACAAGCGGAAGAAAAGCAGAAGGCATTGCTGCGCGAACTTGAAGAACTGAGAGCCAAGGTGGCACAGGGAGGAGCCAATGCCACGACGTCTTCTCTTCAAGCTCAAGGTAATTGATCTTATATCCTGAGTTTGTAACTACCGGGACATCAATAATGTAATTGTTTTCTCATCAGAAATAGCGGAACTTAAACAAACTCACGAGATTAAAATAGCTCGCTTGAAAGAGGCCTTCAAGGCATCGTCGCAGGAGTATCGGCAAGCTTGTTACCAGCTATTCGGCTGGAGAGTGGACAGGACAAAGGAGGGCCGATATAAACTATTCAGCCAATACGCGGAATCACCGGATGACTACTTGTTCTTTCAAATCGGAGGGGATGGAGTGGATCTACTGGAGACCGCGTTCTCCGCGACACTCGGATCATTGGTGGAACAATATCTGCATCGACAGCACAGCGTGCCCATGTTCCTGAATGCTGTGCAATCAGACTTGTTCAATCAACAGACCATGACTAATGTTATGAGTTGATCCTCTTAATTTTTTAAATAATTGAATTAGACCTTTTAGAAGAGAAATGAAGGTATATCAAAAGATTTTAATCATTGTCAATTATAGATTGGAAATGACTCATCAACATTTTAGTTCTCGAACAGAGAGAAGCTCTGTGAATAAAATGAATTTTTCTCGGTTAAAAGTCATTTTATTTAAACCTATTTCATTCTGATCTAAACGATGAATCGATCCAAATGCTTTATACCTTTCAAAACACCACAAAAGCTGCTTTTTTATCAAAAAAAGATGCAATTTCTGTTTCGTTAATCGCACCATTCGTTGCCAGATGGCGATAGCGGCACTGTTCCCAAAACGCGCGTGATCAATTTGTAAAATACAAAAATAATATTGTAGAGATTAAATAATTAACACCTGACACAAATGACGTATTATGCAAAATAAAAGGTATCTTCCTGTAACCATTTAATAAAATATCAAATTTTTGTCTAAGTCTCTTTACTTAATTTATTTTTTATAAAAATATATTTTTGCCTAAACATCCATACTCTAATAATAAGACATCATCTGTTTTTAAGTTCACGATTGTCTTTACCTTAAAATCGTACGTCACATTAGAAAATTAATTAAGATACGAATGAAGAACGGAGACTATGAACACGTCAATCCATTTCAAGAACGGTCTCGCCTAAGCATTGATAAACGACATCATAATGGAACCGGCGCGAAAGCAAGGAAGAGAGGAATTTTAGCTGGAGGAACAGGCGAATCGTTCATCTCAATTATGTGGCAGTCTCACCAGCAGTCTTTCCAATTCTTATCGCATGAGAAAAGCCATGACAATGGAACGTTGCGGATGGAGAGATCTCGTGGAGCTTTTGCTAGCTGCTCCCAAGGGATACGTTCACGGTTCTTGGTAACCCTACACGCCTGGATAAGGGGATTCCCGTGGACCGATTCCAATTGCATTGTCCGCCAAGAAGCCGGGGTGGTAATTCTTCATTAGCGACTGACTCACCCTGCGGAACTCATGGGACCCGACATTGAAAGTACACATACACGTTTGTGTACTTATTGCCACGTGTATTTGCTCTTACATATACATTAATAAATAACAGAAGAGCAAAAAGGGAAATTCTTATTCATCTCAAGCTTATTAATTAATTTTTTGAGGCCTTTAATTATTAAGCAATTAAGATGAATCTATGAATTAACAAATTTTCTATTAAAGTAAAAATTTCGTGAAAATATATTTCCTTATCAGGTTTTATTGATTGCGATTATCTTAACGAGGTCGCTCGATCCGGAAAAGTATTTACTTTCAAAGTTGGAAGTAAAAAGTTTACCTGGGAAATATAATCTTGCGATAATATCGCGTTTAACGGCCTAATGTGCAGAAAGATATTTTGAAACTGCTATTAAGGTTAAACAAGCGGGCTCGGTTCTTTTTTTTTTTAGTTATTACAGGCGGTAGTTTTTAACGATATACCCTAGATTTTTCTTTCGATACGGTCACAGACACTGCATAGCCATAGAATTCTACTAGTAAAGTTAGCTTGTTAAATAATTCTCCAAATTTCTCGTGAAACAGAAGAGAGAAGATACAGTTATCAGTCCTCGGGAAATAAGGTGGCAGTAAAAACTTGCAATATCCAAAGCAACCCTTAACGAGATTCATTTTCCATGATCTCACCTTTCGCGTTTCAGCTTGATGGTTTAACAATGTCCCCAAGAAGGACAAAAAATTGGACGGCTCCTAAGCAGAGATAGGAAGGTTGAAAACCTCCACGGTTGATTCTAGATTGATAACCGTGCTTGAACGAGGGTGGAGGTTCGACGGGGTGAAGTTAAGGCGCCGCGACGAGCACATATGGAAGGGAGGCTGGATGAGTTTGCGATTAAACGCGATTATAATTAAGGATAATGGAGTTTCGGGGCGGGAGTTGCCGTCGACTCGAGTCCCTTCCCAGCTGGCGTCGTTATATCGAGTTCCTGTCGTCGGCTAACGTGCCCAACCGACCCCCGAAAATGCTTTCGGTCGTCCAGTTTCTCGGGTGCACCTACAAAATGCCCAACCCTCTCCGAGTCCCTACTCTGCTTCTGCTTGCCAAGTGGATACACCAGACAATGCCTTTTTCATCGAAAATAAGATTATCATTTTATCTGTTAGAAAATCATTGAATTTTGAAAAAAGAATATATATATAAGGCTTCTAACGACCGGTGGTATAATTAATGTATAATTTCCCACGACCCCAGTGGTGCGCAAAAGTAAATACCTACACAAATTTCTGGGTTCCTCGGCAAGAGGTACATATATATTCCCGTTGGGAATTAACCCAACGCGTTATTGCGTTTTTCCAGCCTGTTTCTCTTGGTTATTAGATATTAGGGTGCTATACGTCACTTTGTAAAGAGAACATCTGGTATCTGACTTCAATGAAACTTTACGACACTATGGGGTTAATTGAGACACAAATAATGGTGTAGCGAAAAATAGTTTAAATAAAATTTCATTGATGGAAGATGAAATGGAAGAATTTTGAAGAACTGTAATTTAAAAAATTGGTAGTACTTTCAATATAGGACATTGACACTTAAAATATATGGGTGTCTATAAAATATTGACATTCATGGTGCATTAGCGTCCATGATATATCGACGTTTATAAAATATTTCTATCTCGAGTATTCTAAATCCAATTCTGTAGAAAATATTGCAGAGAAATCTAGATCATCTACGCTAAAATTGAATACGATTGATACAGATATTTGAATATTTAAATTTGTTTCAGCCGAGTGAAATTATGTTCGGTTGAAAATTATGCATGTAAACTTCGACTTGGTACGAAGGGATTTTATTAGAGCGTCACTTCGGATAGAACGTCCGGAGAAGTTTAGTAATCCTATCCGTTGCTTCTCAAATAATCTGCAAAGTTACATGGAGAAAATTCAACCCTTTCGTATTAAGTCGTCGCTTTTCATTAAACGCTTGAGAACCTTCAACAATACGAAAGCAAAAGGGGAAATTGTACAACACGGAAGCACGAAATGTAAACGCCGCGAGCCATCGCCAAGGTTTTCCAACCTATTTTTATCAATTTCTTCCTAGCGAACGTCGACATTTCGAAGGGAAATTGAAACGCATGCTTCAATCGTTTAAAGTGTTCCCTGGCTTATCTTTGAAATTTCGAATAAAGTGAAATATTTGTTAGATTAAAAATTCCAGACGTATCGCATTTCCTTCCAATATTTTTCGTAACTTTTTTGGAATAATATTTAGGATTATTTATTTTACTTGGAATTGAATAATATTCGAGTGTGTTTAAGTAACATCTTTTTATGGTTACACAAGTTTCGAATGGGAAAATGTAAATTTCGTTCGCGAGATTGTCTGATCTTAATCCAGTTTCCAAGTTTCATCGCGTTCCCGTTTTTACACCGGTACGGTGAAATATCTTCACCGTGGATGAAGCAATAGGAAAACAATCCGACCGTCTGATACTAAAAATTTCACCAGCCCGCCGGATATAAGAGACTGGTCTTGTCTCAAGAACGACAAAACGGAGCCGCGAGGTTCCTTCGATTCAAATATTCACGCGATTCGAGCGCCAAGGATTGCGTGCTTTACCTCTTTCAGCGAAGCTGACTCAGATCTTTCATTGTTCACTGTACACTATGGGTGACTATAGTCGCTTATCCCTAATAGTTAATTACATTATAAAAAATATTAATAGTCGTATCTTTGAATTTTATAGCTGTGAAATTTGATTATGAATGCCAGTCACCCCTTGTTTAGAGTTCGTCTGACTTATGGTTGACTATAATCACTTGTCACTAATATCTCATTAAAAGATATAATTAATCACACGTCCACATTTTGTAACTGTAAAATTTGATTCCGAATGCTAAGGGTGCTTACAGCCACCCATATTTGTATTTCTAAAATCGTGCAATAATTTAATTAAAAAGTAATTAATTGTCGGATTTTCTTTATGCCCATTTCACTCGGAAAATGATGTTGTACATTTCGTAAACTTAGTCCGGAAAGCTGATCGACTTCTTGGTAGGAGAATGGTTGTAGAAGTGCACCTCTCATCGAAAACTTGTCTGCTAAAGAGACTCGAGGAACTAATTTTCCCCGTGACCAATCGAGCAGCCCCTTTGTACCGTGAAAACTTTGCAGAATAATTAACAATCCTGTGAAAAATTCAATACCCTCCGCGTCGATGCTCGCGGCGTTCTCGCTTGAACAAATCCAAGACTCCGTTTGCAAAGATATTCAACACGGGACTAGTATTTTTGAAAGTTACTTCTTCCCTGTTACATCTGTAATTTCTTTTTTTTTACTTCATAGTTAAAAACTTTCGTTCTTAATTAAAGTGTCAAAGTAAGTGTATTAAATACTATCTTACTTTGGCAATTTCGGCTTTTAAGGAATGATAAAATTAAAATTGCAAATGAGAAATGTTGAGTTTTAATAAACCTTCAGAATTTTTTTTTTCTCTATTTACAAGATATGCTGATCAAAATTACTTTTTTTTTTATAATCGAGAAAAAGCAGGGTTTTAATTTAGACTCGTTCTCATTTTGAGGATTTTTTTTTTTTTTTTTTTTTCAAATTATCTGCAACTTTTAATGAAGAGAAAAATTGTCTGTATGATATGAAACGAAAATTCGTCCCGGAATATGTGGAAAATCACGTTCGAAAACATTCGTATCGATCTGAAAGCTCGAAATGGTTTCTCGATTCCCAACTGTGGATACTGTAACAACACAGACGGCAAACACGATAATTAGAAAATCTAATCTGAACCTCCGCATTATGGAGAACACGTCAGATACGGTTGATCAGATTACCCAGCTGTCGAAATATTTCCGAATCCGTTCTAATCGAACTTGTAGCCATGGCAATCAATCAATCAATCCGTTCAATATCACCTTACTGGCCTGATGGTCGAGTAACTTTTACCAGAGGTCAATTTTTTCTCCATAAAAAATTTCAAAATTCTAATCTCACAATCTAATACTATTCGCTGTTAATGCAATTTTATTCAAAATCTCTGTCCTTCAGTTTTTCATTATTTGACCAAGTTAAAATTCATGGCTTCAATCTAAGAAGCTCAGTAATCTTCGAAAGTTTAAATATTCAAAGGGGGTTGAAATTTTCTTTACCAAAGTATACA